AAAATATGTCAAGTGTGTCAGTAATAAGCCTAAGGCTCCAAATGCGGTGGACATTACTCACTTTGAAGAGGAGCTTAATTACACGGTATGAGGAAGTACTTGTATAGCTGTCTAAAATATTGGCACTAGATGTTTCTGCGAAAAGCTACATAGGCACACATAAACAGCTGAACAGGAAGTGACAGGTCATACTGTCAAAACCTTGAAATAGTCCCACTTCTGCTTTCAGAGAGAGAGAGAGAGAGAGAATGCGAGCAAAAACGAATACGTACGACTTCCAAACATTCACCAAAAAGGCAGCTCGCGATGCAATTCTTAATATGTTTTTCTGATATGTTAATTTCAGCATTAACTTCTTTAAATTTCTAGAGCAAGCTGCCCTTCTAAAGACACCCACTCTTATTTCCTTGGTGATGTGAAGTGATAATTTCCACAACATGAGAAGCCTACTTTGGAAATAAAGCTGGTTATTACCTAAATCATTTGATGAATTCATAGAAAAACAGCATTTTCACCAATGGGCTGCAGTATATTAGAAGAATAAAATCCACATTTCATTTTCTTTGTGTGTTAATAAACATCTTGTATTGAGAAAAGCATCAGAACGGTTTAATAAGAACAGATACAGGAACCTAAAACTCATCATACGCGGCGATTACCGTTTCTGAGCGCTCATTCTACTCAAAACACAGCAGCATCATCTATTCTTGGGAACAAAATAAATCAAAGGATTGTTTCCTCTCGAAAAACTACAGGATGTCAGACTGATACAGTTTACAGTTTGCAGTCAGTGGAGCAGAGAGGGCACATGAGCATGATTCCTCCGAGTCTGAACTTTAGTTTTACATTATTTCCCTAAAAGGTGTTTTTACGCTGAGAACTTAGTCAGTACTTTCTCCTTCCTAGAACACACACTGCATGGCCGAGCAAGACTTTCTTTGTAAGTTATGTGCTGTAATTAAAGCGAATTATTTCCTCTTTGAAAACTACCAGAGGATGGTTCAATTAGAGGCACATTTCGAGGTGATTTCCTACCCTTTTGACAACCCTTTTAACAAAAAATGAAGATGCTTTCTACTGCAGTTTCCCAAAAAAAGTCCCCACAAATGTACTTCTTGGAAACAGCTGCAGGGAAAAGTTTGCCTTCTTGACTCATATCTGCACCAAGAGTACCACAGGTGTAGGATCCCTGGTCAAACAAATGAATAAGGAAGAAAGCTTCACTTTCTCTTTTCAAATTTAGTCATTTGATTTCTTTTAAATCACAAAATCTCCCCTTTTTCCCATTTTCTACCACAATTTGTTCGACCCCTTGGACACGGTTGCGCTGACACAAACTTCGTCTTAGCCGAGGACAGCCTGTGCCATGGTATCAGCTAGTGAGGTGAATCTGAATTTAGCTCATGAGAAGTGCAGATGAATTCGCCCCCACCCTTCGCTACAGGCCGAGAAAATGTGTCTAGATTTCAAAGCCCAGGTGTGCTACACGAGCTTCTGAGAGATCTGTCAGGCTGTACACCCACCGTCTAGTGGAGGCTGAAGAAAGCAGAAAAAAAAAGAGAACCTAGTCTTTTACTTCCTGAACATCAAAGGTGCCTCACCTCCTCAGTGTGGCCATCTAAAGCTTCAGTAATGTTTGACCCTTCACTTCATTTCTCTAGAGTTTCTTTCACCCTTTCGCCTACTGATACCGAGGTTTTGATTAACATTGCAGACCCCCGGACTCCTCTCTTAAAATCACACCAAAATTATTGTGGAAGCCTGAACCCAAGATGAAAATTTTAAGAAGGATATTGCCTCTGATATTGAAAGTTTTTTTTTCTTTTTTTAGTGTTTCTCTGCTCACCTTCTCCAAAATCTTGTAGGATTTTTTCTTTTTTTATGTTACGAAAAAGTGTGAGTGTCAGAAACAGGGGTAAAGATAAAAGACAGAGAACATTTTCATCGCCAGGATTTCACATTTTCACAATATGAGGTTTGTGGTTTGTGCACAACAAGAAAATTTGCTTTTTGTCACATGTGGAAGGATAACACCTCCGT